GCAGAAGAAGCAGGCAAACGCGCCAGAGTCAAGTGTGAAGGACACTGAATCAGTAGCCGTAGACGAAGGAGGAACGAGTGTAGAGTCTAGGCTAGACAAAGCAAATGGTCCTACGCCTGACGCAGCATGGGGAGTCTGTACTACACACAGGTGCTACGCCTAAGCTAGGGAACACAGGGTAATAAGATCCGGACACACTAGAAGCATCAGCATACAGAGAATGCAAGGCAGAACTAAGCTGATCCATGTATAGATAAAAAACTGGCACACCGTGGCGAAGCAGACTAGGCCAGTCAAGGAGGTCCGGGGCCACGCCGAAGCGGCGACGAAAAAGGTCGTCAAGGCGGCGGAAGCAGCGGGCGGTCGGGTGCAGGCGGCGGCACACAGTGCCACGAAGCAGAACGGTCTAGAGCTGGTACTGGCAGCCCACAGCAACGAAGTCACCGGTAGACGCCGAGCTGCGAGGACCGCCACCTCGACCACCCCCTCCTGGGGCTCCCGTCCACCTTGGCGGGAGACGGGCCCATGGCTGCTGCTGCTGCTGCTGCTGCGGCTGCGGCTACTGCGTCGGCTGCTGCTGCTGCTGCTGCTGCTGCTGCGGCGGCTGCTGCTGCTGCGACTACTGCTTCTCCTGGACGCCTGCCGCAGCCCCCTCGTCAGAGCCGCTGTCGCCGCCACCACCACCAGGCCCCACCTTGGGGCTGCGACGGCCCACGACGCTGTCGCTGCTGCTGCGGGAAGGCCGCCGCTGCTGTCTCAGTGGCAAGAGCAGCAGTAGCAACCGCAGCGGAAACGTCAGCGTACGTGCACTGGGAGGGAGCAGAGCCCTGAAAGATAGGGACTGCCGCAACACCGCTCGACTGGGCAATAGTGCGCTGGCGAGTCTTTATCTCAGAAAGGGTAGCGACAAAAGCGGACAGGGTGAGGTCACCTGGGTGCTGGCTAAGGAAGTGGTCACGAGAAGTGGCTAAGCGGTTAGGTAGGCGCATGGCAAGAAGGTACACGGTAGCGCAGAACGGTGGGGGGAAGGCAGTGAGCTGGGCAGGAGTGCTAGCAGCGCGATAGCTAGTCTCTAGTGCACGGAGGTGAGTGGTGAGATCAGCGACATTGGGGAAAGCAGAGAGATCAGGGAAAGCATGGGGAGGATCAAGCGTCCAGATGAGGCGGAGGAAGGCGTGGAGTAGAGGTCAACTACAGCATCTAGGACAACCTTGGCGTTCGCGACAGTAGTGAAATGCGGGCGCTCAGACAAGGGAAACGCATGACTAATGGCAAGCTGCGCTACAGCATCGCGAGAATCCCAGACAGCGCGAGCGAGCACAGCAGCAGCAAAGGCCTCACTCTCAGCAGTGGTGGGGTCAGCAGGTATGGGATCAGGGGTGGAGGGGCGAGGAAGCAAGCCATCAACATGTATAGCCAAGGAGTGTCGATCCTGGTGCTGACCTGTCAGGTGCTGGCGGAGATTGACAAGCTAGGCAGCGAAGTCGATCGCGCGCCCCTCCGCGTCCAGACGGAGCATGGCGTCCGCCATCGCTCAGCCAGAGCGGCACTGAGATACAGCGACACAGGGACACATGGGCACAACAGCACACAGACTCAGCGGCCCGGTGGCAGGACTCTCCGGAACTGAACCGAAAGGAAGGCCGAAGAGGGCGCGCGAGGAGTCGACGTGCACAAGGGGCCGGCATGTGGAGAGGGGCCGGCAGGGCGCGTGGAGCCTTAGGTGCACAGAAGAGGGGCCGACTAGGTGGTAGGGGCCGGCTAGGCGGTGGGGGCCGGCTAGGTGGTAGGGGTCGGCTAGGTGGTGGGGGCCGGCTAGGTGGTAGGGGCCGGTTAGGTGGTAGGGGCCGGCTTGGTGATAGGGGCCGGCTGGGGGGGGCGACTAGGCGTGAGGGGCCGGTCAGGCGCAAGGGGCCGGTGAGGCGCGAGGGGCCAGCTAGGGTGCGAGGTGCCGGTTAGGCGCGAGGGGCGGGCGACTGCGCGAGGGGGCAGCTAGGACGCGAGGGGCCAGCAAAGGCACGAGGGGCCAGCGAAGGCGCAAGGGGCCAGCAAAGGCGCGAGGGTCTGGCTAGGCGCGAGGGGCGGGCCGGCTGGTCGCGAAGGGGCCGGCTGGGCACTAAAGGCGGGCGACAACGCGAGGGGCCAGCTAGGGCGCGAGGGGTAAGTGAAGGTGCGAGGGGCTGGCTAGGCGCGAGGGTTGGGCCGGCTGGTCGCGAAGGGGCCGGCTGGGCGCTAGGGGCGGGCGACGACGCGAGGGGGCAGCTGGGGCGTGAGGGGCCAGCGAAGGCGCGAGGGGCCAGCGAAGGGGCGAGGGGCTGGCTAGGCGCGAGGGGCGGGCCGGCTGGTCGCGAAGGGGCCGGCTGGGCGCTAGGGGCGGGCGACGACGCGAGGGGGCAGCTGGGGCGCGAGGGGCCAGCGAAGGCGTGAGGGCCCAGCGAAGGCGCGAGGGGATGGCCCGCGGGCCGGCTGGTCGCGAAGGGGCCAGCTGGGCGCTAGGGGTGGGCGACGACGCGAGGGGCCAGCTGGGGTGCGAGGGGCCTGCGAAGGCGTGAGGGGCTGGCGACGGCGCAAGGGGCGGGCCGGCTGGTCGCGAAGGGGCCGGCTGGGCGCTAGGGGCGGGCGACGACGCGAGGGGGCAGCTGGGGCGCGAGGGGCCAGCGAAGGCGTGAGGGGCCAGCGAAGGCGCGAGGGGCTGGCCCGCGGGCCGGCTGGTCGCGAAGGGGCCGGCTGGGCGCAAGGGGCCGGCTAGGGGGCAAGGGGCCGGCTAGAGTGCGAGGGGCCGACGGGCACGCTAGGGGCCGGCTACGGCGCGAGGGGACGGCGGGCACGCTAGGGGCCGGCATGGCGCGGTAGGCTAGGGCGCGGGGCGGAAGCGGGTGGGGGGGACCTAACCTACGCATGATACCATGTTAGAATACTAGAATAAGAATAAACAAGAGAGAACAAGCAAGGTATAGGGTTGGAGTTGTACTCTCTAAGAACAAACACCTATCTAGCCTATAACTTCTACATCCTAACATATGTATAAGTTGACAGAGGGGAGGGAAGGATGAGTGGGATGGGGTGGAACAGGTGGTTGGAGAGATTTGTTGGTTGATAAGTGGTTCCACATGCCTAGCTTTTAGTTGTGCCTGCTGCACTTAGAGCGTGTTCTTACGAGCCTCTTCTCAGACAACCTCTTCCCAGACTCGCGCGCTACAGTGTTGAATATTTGACGCGAAATGTTTCAGTGCGGTTCCGCAAGGTGCGACGCAAAGTTTGGTTTGCCGAGATTCAGGGGCGTGTTTCAAAACCTCTTTTTAGGCGAACAGATTTTCATACACGCGAATCTCTACAGTGAAATTTCGACGTAGGCTGTTGGAACGCTAATATAAAATTGATAATTCTTATAAGGGGTCATGAGAACACGCTCTCAAGGTCTCGCATGAGACTGGGAAGAGGTTGCCTGGGAAGAGGATAGTAGGAACACGCTCTTAATCTCCGTGTGCATATGTCAATATGATGTGGTGTGGATTGTGTCTGCCTTGGGCGTGTTGCTAATAGGCTAGGTGTTGCAGTTAGAGATTGTCATCGTGCCCAGGGCAGCTCTGGTGTCAACGCGCACCCCGTGAAATCTCTGCTGCAAAACTAATGCCTATATGAATTCGTTTCATGGCATTTGCAATCTTACATGGTGTTTAATTATACACGAATATTTGTTGAGATATGTCATACGGTCAAATTGTTTCATCCGTTGTGTTATAAATTATAACTCAAAGTATAGCGCAGAATACTATAAGGAGAACGTGATTACAATGTGTCTATCCAAATGAGGCCTATGGCTTATATAGTGAGAATTGACCAGGTTGAATGTCGAGGGTTGGACCAGTCAAGGGCTCGATAGTCCCGAGGGTGACGGGGTCAAAATGGGTTCGGGGTGACTCTGGGTCAGGTTGGGGCCGAAAAGGTCGACGGGGGCTGGTTTAGCGCGATAACCAAGGGCCGAGCCTGCGGACGCGCACTGTTTGCGTGTACTCACTGTGGCGAGGCCCAGTAAGGAATCGTAATTCCTTACACGCCGTACTTATCGACGAGATGGAGCAGTTTGACTTTTGGATTCACATTTTGGATTTGCATTGAAGTGTAACTTCGAAATACTGTTCATATCAGTGCTCCGAAAATGTGAAACCAATTTTATAGGGTTGCTACGCAACCCAATTTGTTATGAATAATAACTGAGAGTGCGTGGAATAATAATGACGAGTACAAGAATGCTAGCCTAGCATTATATAGCGAGAGCTCTAGCTAGGCGACGAAGCCGGAGGGCTAGGTTGGGTACAGGCGCGGTCGAAAGGATCGGAGGTGGCGCGGGCGTGCCTCGGGGTCGCGTCGGAAACGGACCGAGCCTGGTGTTCCGAGAGTTCGGGTGTACGCGATTGCAGTACAACCCGGTAAGGAATAAAATTCCTTACACTACCCCCTCTCTTAAGGAAGGTGATCAACATCGGGAACGCCTTTTCGGGTCAAATAAGATTTGAGCACCGAGTGTTCCTGAATCGAGTCGGAAGTGACCCATGTGTCGTCTTCACTTGTACGGTCGACCCAGCGGACAAGAAAATCCACGTGTCGTCCGGTTGAGTCGAGGCGGACGCGATGACTCAAAGGCCGGAAAGGCTCAAGGGTCGGTTCAGCCAGTGGGCGGATACTGGGGGCGGCTGCTGGTCGTGCGACTGTAGACGTGATGGCGATGTAGGGACGAAGCGGACTGACGTGGAAGGCGTCGTGAATGCGCCACTCGTCCGGGAGTAATAAATTCGCTGTGACAGGTGTCGCCATCTTGACAATACGAAAAGGGCCACAGAATTTCGGGCGGAGTTTTGAAGGCAGAGGCAATCGAAGGTTCTTCGTGTCGAGGAGGACTAGTTGCCCAGCGGCCATCGTGATATCGCGGCGATGAAGGTCTGTATAGCGTCGAGCGGTTGTGTTGGACTTGCGAATGAATTCGATCGCTTTATCCCGGGCAGCTTGCAAACTGGTCACGAACTGCTAGGAACGTGGCACCGGGTTGTCGATGTGGGTAGTCGTCGAGACAGTCGGGTCCATCCCGTATTTTAGGAAAAACGGCGAGTGATTGGTCATAGCAGATGGGGCATTGTTGTAGGAAAATTCCCGCATGGGCAGGAATTCTTCCCACCGGGCAGGATCTGGGCAGTTGGTGCGTATCAGCTGCTCCATGGTTTTATTGGTTTGCTCGGTCTGGCCGTCGGTTTGAGGATGGTAGGCGGAGGAAAATTGGAGGCGTGTGCCGTACTGGGCCCATGTCTCTTGCCAGAACTTGGACATGAATTTTGGGTCGCGGTCGCTGATGATTGCGGATGGTAAGCTGTGCAAACGAACAAAGGTGGAGATGAAAAGTTTCGTTGTATCCTCGGCTGTGATTGTTGTGCGACAGGGTGCGAAATGCCCCGTTTTCGTCAGACGATCGACGACGATGAGGACGGCGTCGTTGCCCATTGCGGTTGCCGGGAGTCCCGTGATGAATTCCATCGTCACGTGTTGCCACGACCGCTGGGGTGGCTCGAGCGGCTGCAGCAGTCCAGCTGGCCGCTGTCGAGAAGACTTCATGCGTTGGCAGATCGGGCACGCGGATACGTATCGCTGCACATCAGACGCCGAATCAGGCCAATAATAAAAACGGTGAAGTAACTTCTGGGTTTTGTCAATCCCGAAATGACCGGAGAGGTTAGAATCATGGACTTCTTGAATAAGTAATTCGCGGAGGAGTCTGTAGGCGGGAACCCAGATACGGTCAGTACCAGCTTTTAGGAAGTAGGGTCCTTTGGCTGTGGTGGTTTGCTAATGGAGGTTGCGGGTGAAAAAGGGATCTATGGTATAGCCGTGGGTAAATGGTCCAGTGAGCAACGGGTTGGATTTTGCGACGATGATGGAGGCGAGGTGGGCGGACGGTCGTGTCAGTGCATCGGCGATGTTATTCGCCCCACGTTTGTACATGATGGTGTAGTGGAAGTTGCTTTCGAGGAAGTCCAGCCAGCGAATCTGCCGTGGATTGAGGTTCGGCTGCGCGCGGAGGTACTGTAGGGATTTATGGTTTGTCCGTACTGTCACTTCGGCTCCCGTCAGGTAGCATCGCCACACCTTGAATGCGTGCACGATGGCGAGCATTTCTTTGTCGTCGACGGGGTAGTTGCGCTCGGCTGCCTGCAACTTCCTAGACTCATACGCGATTGGTTGGAGTCCTTCGCCGAAATCTTGTAACGGTATCGCACCGATGGCGAAATCGCTAGCGTCCGTCAAGTCTTCGAACGGTTGAGATGGGTCGGCGAATCGGAGGACCGGGGGTGACGTCAGAAAATTTCACAGTTCGTCGAAAGCAGTTTGCTGTCTCTCCCCCCACGCAAACAAAGTGCCTTTCCGCAGCAGGTCAGTCAACGGTCCGGTTATCCCGGCCATATTGGGGATAAACCGTCGGACATAATTGACGAACCCAAGAAAACTCTGCAGCTCCTGTAAATTCGTCGGCGGCTTCCAGTCGCGGATCGTTGTGATTTTCTTCCAGTCGATTTTGATGCCGTCCGCTCCCACGACATGTCCCAAAAATTCCAGTTCGGATTTTAGGAACTTGCACTTAGAGCCCTTCGTGATGAGCCGGTGTTCTTGCAGTCGCTGGAAAACTTGCTCAAGGTCCTTGAGGTGCTGTTCCTGTATTGAATATCGAAATGCAGGACCCAGTGGTGGCTGACTCAACCCGAACTCACGGAGTTGCGAAGCCACCTGGACTACCTCTTGGAGAAAGGGTTCATTCGGCCCAGCACGTCCCCGTTCGCAGCACCAATCCTGTTCACGCCCAAAAAAGACGGCGGGCTGCGCATGTGCATCGACTACAGGGCGCTGAATCAGCGAACCATCAAGTCCCGCTACCCAATCCCACGCGCGGACGATCTTCTCGATCAACTTCACGGAGCTCGCTTCTTCTCGAAAATCGACCTACGCGGCGGTTACCATCAGATCCGAGTCTCCGCTAACGACTGCCACAAGACGGCGTTCCGAACCCGCGATGGCAGCTACGAGTACACAGTGATGCCGTTTGGCCTCACGAACGCGCCCTCCACTTTCCAACTCACCATGAACGGCGTATTCCGAGATCTCCTCGACAAGTGTGTCATCGTCTATCTGGATGACATTCTGATCTATAGCAACTCGTATTGAATATCGAAATGCAGCCCGCTAACGTATTTGTCCCGTCTTTCCGCTTCGCTGAGGTCGTCGACTTGGTCCGCAAGTGCCGAGAACGACGCAGTGTAATCTTGAACAGTAGTCACCTGCCGCCAGTTGCGCAGCTTCATGCGAGCGTCGTCTGAGGCGGATGAGTGCTCAAAACGAGCTCGCAGAGCTCTGCCCCACTGTTTCCACGTGCGAATCGTGGTCGTACCGAATATTGTTTCTGCCTGTTGGTTTGAAGAGTCCGAAGTCCCGTCCTTCGCCTGCTTCACTCCTGCCGGAGTCCCAATCGCCAACTGTCGCCGCCACCAATCCAACGCCGGTCCTCGGAGCAGCGACACGGCATAATTAACGCGCGCGTCATCCGTGTGCACACTTGCCGCCGTGAAGAACAGCTCCATGCTGAACAGCCACCCTTGCACCGTCGTCGCCTCGTCCAAAGGGTTGAACGAGGGCGGTGTTGCTGGCTTGAGTTTAATCTTCGTTACAGTCACAGTGCGCACGTCGTCCTGCTCCAACTCCCGTGCGAGCTCGTCAAGGACGGTTTCACTTGCTGCGTCGTCGGCACCTTGCTTGACCTCGTCTTCGGCGACTCCAGGCGACTCCTGACGCGCTCCACCACGCGTCTGGCGAAGCTCGGTGTTCTCCGTCCGAAGTCTTACGACTTCACTGTTCAAACTCGCCATCTGGGCTTGCATTGCCTGCATCTGAGCCATGACCTCGTTTAGCTGGGCCTAGGACATGATGTGAATGCTACGCCTTTCGGGCAGGAGGAAGGCCGTGGTAAGAAACCGTAAGGGGCGCAAACGCTATCGTAGTTGTGTGAGCTAATAACTCTAGCTCACGGACAACCGCTTTGCAGCCCCGCAGGGTTAACCACGCCTTGGGAATAAACTACCCTGAGAAAGCGGGGTGAACCAGGAAAGTAGCTCTGATACCAGATGTTATGAATAATAACTGAGAGTGCGCGGAATAATAATGACGAGTACAAGAATGCTAGCCTAGCATTATTTAGCGAGAGCTCTAGCTAGGCGACGAAGCCAGAGGGCTAGGTTGGGTACAGGCGCGGTCGAAAGGATCGAAGGCGATGCGGACGTGCCACGGGGTCGCATCGGAAACGGACCGAGCCTGGTGTTCCAAGAGTTCGGGTGTACGCGATTGCTGTACAACCCGCTAAGGAATAAAATTTTATACTGTTCATTTTGGATTTGCATTGAAGAGTAAGTTCGAAATACTGTTCATATCAGTGCTCCGAAATGTGAAACCAATTTTATAGGGTTGCTACGCAACCCAATTAGCTTCTTCTGTAGTACAGTTCCATTACGGTACAGTAGCATTATTCCCCCTTCCACAAAAGGTTTTGCTGCAGTGCCGGCTTTCCCGCTTCCACTCACTTTCACCGCCACAGCCTACACCCAGCTTCGTTCGTGCCGCGCAAACGCAAACCCCCGTCGAATGTCCACTATTGGTCCATACCTCTCCGTCACGTTGCCCTGCCTCGTCTCTGCCCTGGCTCAAGGCACTCTGCATTACCGTACTCCAACCATCAAAGTTCCGGTCCCGTCCTTACATGGGGTGTCTCAGGGCGTGTCCAGCGACTTCTTTTCGCCCCAACACGAGTTCTGAAGTTTTTAAACATGCCGAAATATTGAAGCGCCAAGTGTAAACGTGTTGAGGTACACCGACAGTCTCAACAGCAGAACGCGCGGACACGTGTCCCGCCCGTGTCTCGACAAATGAGCGGGTGCGCAGCGCGCACATAACAGCCTGACACGCGAAAACAGCAGGGTAACCGAATGCCGCCCCTGGAAAGAGGCCCCACACGGTGCGTCGCATGCGTCACGAAAGCCTGGCAAATATAAGCGTTATAGTTTTCGCCAGCCAGGATTTGGACGTTTCTGCCGTGTGTATAATTTGGGCACGATCTCCATTCGGTTTGGAAACGTGCGGCCCACGTATGTGGGCCCGTTTGGAGGGTGTCCGCCAAAACCTTCAATTTCTCGTGCGTTTCCCAATGGACAAGAAATTTCGGGTTACCAGCTCAAAATTTCGTACCTGATATGCAACCAACGCGCTGGACACGCCCTCAGATAGGAGATGCAACGACGAAAGTGAATCAACCGGCACTCTCCCTCCCTCTCCTCCCAATGCAGTACCAACGCGAGCGCACGTGGCGCAACCTCCTCTCTTCCCTCTCCCACCCTCCCTCCAGTAGAATCTGGGCTCCTGGTACTATTGGAGGGTCTATGGTGTATCACATATAATTGAGAGTGAGACAGCTGTTCTCCCTACAGCTGTACTTACACTCTGACCAAGGCCTCACACTACACATTACTTTATCTTGCTGTCGCACTAGGAGCGTGTCGAGGAGCAGGAGGAAGGCTCCTCCCCGCAATTCCAGGCAGCTCTGACGCTGTCAAACGCATGACATAGCCTCTCCTCTCGATGCGCATCCTAGCGGCTCATTCGCTCCGCCTCTTACGCGGCTGGCCTCACCCAAGCAAATTTCGAGCATTCCCTCCTAGGCCTCCATTATTGCTGACAGTCTCCCTTCCCCGCTTTTGCCTCTTTCCTCGCTGCGCTCGTCCGCATTCCCCGCTCCTCCGGTCAACCCGTCGTTTCCAAGGCAATAATTTAGTATTGCCTTGCTAGAACTGCTTCCTCCCTACGACTTGTTCATCCGCTTGACTCCCCGCGGACTCCCCGCGGACTTCCCGCGGACTCTCCGCGGGCTCTCCGCTTGACTCTCCGCGTCTCACGGCAGCGTCAGCGGGAAGCCTCACCTCCCGTTTTCGATCGTCCCCCTGCTCTGATCCGCGTTCATGTCGGCGCGTTCTTCTATCGCGCGCACTTCTATCGCGCGCTCCTCTCTGGCCTTTTTCTAGTTTTGAGGAGTCTCGCGATGCGTTTCGCTGCTCGCCCGCATCTCCCGGCAGCATCGTATCTCGATAGCGGGGGACCGCATCCCCCTTTTCCGCGCAGTTCGCAGTGAACCTCTCCGCGCATCCGCGTTTACTCCGTCCGCGTTTATAGCGTCCGCGTTTATAGCGTCCCCCGCAAACCCCGGCCGTTTCGTCAGCCTCTCGGCAGGCTGCCTCGTCCTAACGTACTTCGTCTCTCCAGCTTTCCACGACTATGTAACACTACTACTAGTAGTAAACGAAATCGCCTGACCTCCTCGCCCTGCTGTTCCTTTTTCCATCCATCCTCTCTCCTCGTCATCGACTTCTAGTGGACGGAATTGCCTGGCCTCCTTATCCTCATCGCCCTCCTCACTCCTCCTTACTCCTCCTCACTCCTCCATGAACGCCGAGAATCCCGCAGTTGGTTTTATTATTATTTATTACCTACTAACTGACCGAATCTGAGCTTTATTTTACCTTTGAAGAACGCGGGATCGACTGTCGCGGCTCGGACGACCAGCCGACGACTGGCTGACGCTCTTTTGCCATCCGCGCTTTTGCCATCCGCGCTACCCGCTAACGTGACAAACTGCGGCGAAGCTCGTACCGACCTGACGCAGAGCCTTCGGCTTCCGCAAATCGCGCCACAGGAGTCTGCTACGCGCTACTCGCTAACGACGCGTGTCGTCCGACACCCTTTTTCGCGGGTTTTTGCGGAGAATCCGCTCTGCTTTTGAGCCCGCGTGCCGGCGGGATTTCGCTCTGCTTTGCGTTTGAGAACGGGGAATCCGCTCTGCCTTTGAACCTACTCGAAGAGGAATCCGCTTTGCTCCTTGCCCGCGAGTCACTCCGATTCTTCCCGCCGCTCACTCCAGCCATGGCGACTCCGGTACCGCGCCGACCTTCCCTTCTCGCGCTCGTCACTCGTACGTCTTGCTTCCTTCGCTCCCCTGCCCTCCCTCGTCGCTCGTACGTTTCGTCCTGCTCCTTTCTCCCCTCGCCGCTAGTACGTTTCATCCTGCTCCTTTCTCCCCTCGCCGCTCGTACGTTTCATCCTGCTCCTTTCTCCCCTCGCCGCTAGTACGTTTCGTCCTGCTCCTTTCTCCCCTCGCCGCTAGTACGTTTCGTCCTGCTCCTTTCTCCCCTCGTCGCTCGTGCGTCCCGCTCCCGTCCCTCCTCGTCCCCATCCCTGTCCTTCCTGCTCTCTCTTTTCTGCCGTCGTTCGGGTTGCTCTCTCCCTTTCACCCCCCTTCCCATTCCCGTCGATTCCTCCGTTCAAAAATTCCCTTTCCCCCCCCCCTTTTTTTTTCTTCCTGCCCGCGTGCAGTCCTCGCTGTTCTCCTCCCGGCCGTCCTTGCGCGGAAGCTTCTCCAGGACATCCTGTACATAGTCAACGATGACGTCATCGGTTCGTTCCCTTGGCCTGCTTCCCCCTCTCCAAGTTGTCCTCTCCTCTCTCTTCTCCGCTTCCTCTAGGCCTGCTTCCTGCCTCCTCTCTCTTTTCCGCTTCCTCTAGGCCTGCTTCCTGCCTCCTCTCTCTTATCCGCTTCCTCTAGGCCTGCTTCCTGCCTCCTCTCTCTTCTCCGCTTCCTCTAGGCCTGCTTCCGGCCTCCTCTCTCTTCTCCGCTTCCTCTAGGCCTGCTTCCTGCCTCCTCTCTCTTCTCCGCTTCCTCTAGGCCTGCTTCCTGCCTCCTCTCTCTTCTCCGCTTCCTCTAGGCCTGCTTCCTGCCTCCACTCTCTTATCCGCTTCCTCTAGGCCTGCTTCCTGCCTCCTCTCTCTTCTCCGCTTCCTCTAGGCCTGCTTCCTGCCTCCTCTCTCTTCTCCGCTTCCTCTAGGCCTGCTCCCTGCCTCCTCTCTCTTCTCCGCTTCATCTAGGCCTGCTCCCTGCCTCCTCTGTCTTATCCGCTTCCTCTAGGCCTGCTTCCTGCCTCCTCTCTATCTCCTTCCCTTTTCCCCCCCCACAACCCCCTCCCTACCCTTTCCCTCCCTCCGCTTCCCCCCCACCCCCTCCCCTTCCCCTTCCCCCTCCCCTCCCCCTCCCCTTCCCCCTCCCCCTCCGCTTCCCCCTCACCGACTCGTAGCCAATGAGCACATATCCCACTGATTCCTAGTCAACTCATATCCCAATTCCCTGCTTCTTATCCGTCCTCTCTTTCAGGTGTATTTTGAGTCGACTCAAAATACTCCTTTCTCGCTGTTCCTCTCTTTCTTTCCTCTTTTCCCTCGCTCGCTTTTCTCTTCTCCCTCACTCGCTTTCCTCTACTCCCTCACTCGCTTTCCTCTACTCCCTCACTCGCTTTCCTCTACTCCCTCACTCGCTTTCCTCTACTCCCCCACTCGCTTCCTCTACTCCCTCACTCGCTTTCCTCTTCTCCCTCACTCGCTTTCCTCTACTCCCTCACTCGCTTTCCTCTACTCCCTCACTCGCTTTCCTCTACTCCCTCTCTCGCTTTCCTCCAACCCCTCACTCCCTTCCTCGTGGCCTGCCTTCCGCCTCTAGGCTCATTCTGCGAGGTGATCGTCGGCTCGCCATCGGACCCCTTTTCTTCGGTCGATGTCTGCCTGAAAGTGCACCAGTGAGTGGTCGATACCTCCCCTCGGCTCTTTCTCCCCCTCTCCCTCGGCTCTTTTCCATCCTCCTGTTCTCTCCCAGCTGCCCTCAACTGCTCAACTGTCCAACAGCCCAACAGCCCAACAGCCCAACAACCCAACAGCCCAGCACCTTAAACTAAATATTCGTTTTTTTTAGCACAAATCTTTTCTCCCCCTGTTCCCCTTGCTCTCTCCCACCCTGCTGCTTCCACCCAACAGCCCAACAGCCAACGCCTTAAGCCACATTTTCATTTTCTTGAGCGCATATCCTTTTCTCCTTTCTATATCCCTCCCCCCGATTCCCCGGCTCTTTCCCACCCTTTTGTTCCACACACCCCTTCTAGAGGAGCAGCATAAGCCACATGGTGACTTCATAACCCTGTGGGAGCATGTGTTCTCTTCTCCTCTCTCCCTCTTCCCCTCTCGCCTTTGCTCTTTCCCACCCTTCTGTTCAAAGCGCCCCCCCAAGCCCAACAGCCCAACGGCCCAACCCCAACAGCCCAACAGCCTCCCCAGCCCAACACCCCCCCCAGCCCAACACCTTATGCCACATTTCATTCTCTAGAGCGCATTGTCTTCCATCCTTTCTCTTTCGTCCCCCGTCCCCACTGCTCTCTCCCACACTCCTGTTCCAGACACCCCTCTCAGAGCAACATCATGAGCCAAATGGTGACTTCAGAAGCCTATGGAAGCCTTTTCTCCCCTCTCTTTCTTCACCTCTTGACTTGGCGGTTTTCCTCCCAGCACAACACTATACACCACGTGGACTTCACAACCCTATGGAGCATGTAACCGTTTCTCCTCTCTCTTGCTTCACCTCGTGCCTTCCCCCCCTCCTGTTCCCGCTGCTTTCTCCCCCTCTTATTCCAGGCACCCCTCACAGCGCAACACTATAAGCCACATGGTGATTTCATAACCCTGTGGGAGCTTGTAGCCTTTTCTCCTCTCTTTCTTCACTTGTCTTTGCTCCTTCCCACCCTGTTCCCCCTGCTTTCTCCCCCTCTCTTATTCCAGGCACCCCTCCCAGCACAACACTATAAGCCACATGGACTTTATAGCCCTGGTCGAAGGGGTAACTTCCGCTTCCACCCCGTCCCCTCCCACCATCTCCCTAACCGAATCTCATACAATCACAGTCCCCTGCAATCACTACGAATCCGAGCCATATCCTTACATTGAAGGGAGCTTGCTCTACCGATGTGAGCAGAACATTCCCAAGGAAGCACAGCGTGTGATTCTAGAGGGGCTAGATGAAAGCCCGCTTCCTATAGTCACATTTAAAGTGGGGGATTCTCCTGTTAGGATAACTTTATCCCACTCAGTGGTTATTTACTAAGAGTGTGCTCCTACCAGCCTCTTCCCAAGCAACCTCTTCCCAGACTCGCGTGCTGCTACAGTGTCGCAAATTTTGACGCGAAATGTTTCAGTGCGATTCCGCGTAGTGTGAAGTGAGCTTCGGCTTCCCGAGATTCAGGGGCGTGTTTTGAAACCTCTTTTCAGACTAGCAGATTTCCAGACAAGCGCGAATCTGCACAGTTAAATTTCGACGCCAGCTGGTTTTATGTGGTTGAGAGTGATGGAATGGAACGCATATATGAAACGGGAGTATTCCGAAAATTGGTCCTGGGAACACGCTCTCAAGGTCACGCGTGAGTCTGGGAAGAGGTTGCCGGGGAAGAGGCTCGTAGGAACACGCTCGTACGTTTCTGGTGATAGGGGCAGGGGCTGCTTTTAAATCTGGGTGTTGTGCTGCCTTGTTCCTTCAGGCCCTTTTGTTCTTTGGGCTGTCCTGATTTCGATCCTGTGTTCATTGTGCCTTGTAATATGCTTAATATATTAAACCGGTACCCAACTCCAAGGTGAAATCGTCATGGTACTCTGACTTTTAAGGGTACCCCAAAACCAATCTCTGGCCCTGGAGGAACTAGAGCCTAGTTGGTGCCTTTTTAGACGACTCAAAAGTCACGTCTTCACAATGAGGTGTACAGGAACTAGAGCCTATCAGCAGACCTAAGAGCTGCTAGCATTCACACAGCCGGCATGGCATGGCCCACAGAATCGGTGCAGGAAGGGGGAAGAGGATCCACTGTTGCTGCCGATGGTGCCAAATTGAATGCGCTGTAGAGCACCTGACCTGAACCCAATCCCTGAGCTGCATTTAGGTGGCCTGCATGGCGCGCAGAATGGCACCTCTATCGAAGCTGAAATTTACCCTTTCGGTGCAGGGAGGGAGAAGAGGAGCCACCGTTGCTGCTGCTGCTGCTGCTGCTTCTGCTGCTGCTGCTGCTGCTACCAGAATCAAAGCGTTGTACTGGCAACTGGGCCTGTACCTGCCAGCACTCAAGTGGCTTGCTGCATGGCGCGCAGAATGGCACCTCTATCGAAGCTGAAATTCACCCACTCCGTGCAGGGAGGTAGAAGAGTCGTCACTGTTGCTGCTGATGGTGCTGCTGCAGCTTCTACGGCTGCTGGCGTTACCAGAGACTGCGGCTGCTGTTGCTGCTGCTGCTGTTGTTGCTGAAGTAGGCTTTGTCGTGGGAGGGTGCCAGGTGGCAGCCTGAGGATCCCTGCCCGGCTGCCACCTGGCAAGAGGCTGGATGATGCTGCTGACGTGGACAGGGGGGAAGAATCTGCCGGAAACAGCTGCTTCCTGGCTGCCCCGTGGCGGGATGAGACTGGATGGTGGAGAGAGGAGGGGGAGGCAGAGGGAATGTGAGGGAGAGCGGTGGTGGTTGGGACGGTGGAATGAGCAGTGCCTGTAGAGGCAGTGCTGGAAGCTGCAGCAGCAGCAACAGCAGTGGCAGCGGAAGGAAGGGTAGGGACGAGAGTGGGGCGAGGATGAGTGATCTGAGCGTGAGTGGTTTGCAAGTGAGGGGTTGGAAGGTGGGTGGAAGATGAGTGGATTGCGGTTTGAGGGGAGGAGGGCAGAACACTGCTGGTCTTCCACACAGAGATGATGCTTCCTGGAACGTTCTGCGGCATCATGTGCACTGCCAGCTGCCTCGTGTCGGCCGTGTGATGGCGGTCGATCCACTCGAGGAGGGGTCTGTGGGGGGTTAAGGAGGACAATGAACGGAGGGGAGGAAGGGGAGGGATTGGATGACATTCTGCGGCATTATCATCATCATTATCATCATTATCATCATTATCATCATTATCATCATCATTATCATCATCATAATCATCATCATTGTTGTCGACATCATCAGCAGCATTGCAAGCTGTCCCGTGTCGGCCATGGGATGGCGGTCGGTCCACTTGAGGAGGGGCCTGTTGGTGGAGTGGGGAGTATACTGAGGGAGATACGACGACAAACACCATGCTCTTCTAGCACCACTGCAAGATGCCTAGTGTCGGCCCATGTGATGGTGGTCGATCCACTCGAGAAGCAATTTTTTAGGGGGGCGAGAGTCAGGAGAGTGGGAGGCGGAGTAAGGGTGGGGCGCCAGCTGCCAGCTGTCTTGTGTTGGGCGTGAGCGCAGCGCATGGCGATGACCCAGTTGCCTTTGAGTCGACTCAAAAGCAGTCTTGTGTTGGGCGTGAGCACAGCGCATGGCGATGACCCAGTTGCCTTTGAGTCGACTCAAAAGCAGTCTTGTGTTGGGCGTGAGCACAGCGCATGGCGATGACCCAGTTGCCTTTGAGTCGACTCAAAAGCAGTCTTGTGTTGGGCGTGAGCACAGCGCATGGCGATGACCCAGTTGCCTTTGAGTCGACTCAAAAGCAGTCTTGTGTTGGGCGTGAGCACAGCGCATGGCGATGACCCAGTTGCCAGGAGCACCTTCTATGGTCCGACTTATTTGTGGACGGTTTTGGTGAGCAGTATGTCGTTATTTTATCCAGGCTTGACAGACTTTATCTTAGACGTTGTCACTCCATCCTCCCCATCTCACTCTGCCCGCAAACCCCTCCCTCCCCTACTTTTTTGCACATGCATCCTGTCCCCTTCCCATCCTCTCTTTCACACACCCCCTAACCCATATTCTTGTGTTGCCACGTTCCTACCACTGCTGTGCGTTCGTGCCATTGAACTGAACTCTACTGGACTGCACTCCATCATCCTGCACCCCCACCAGTCCTGAAGATTCTTGAAGAAACGTCAGGGGATGATGGTGGAGTGCGGTGCAAAAGATGGTGGAGTGCGGTGCAAAAGAGTTTAGTTTAATGGCACGGATGTACAGCAGTGGTAGGAACGCGACAACACAAGAACATGGGTCAAGGAGTGAGTGGAAAAAGGGATGGAAGAAGACAGGACGCAAGTTTTGAGGCGCCTCAAAACGGAAGAAGACAGGACGCGTGTGCAAAAGAAGGGGAAGGAACGGGTTTGGGTGCAGAGTGGGATGGGGAGGAGGGAGTGACCGTGGGTCAACCGTCGCCTGGATATAATAACGACTTACTACTCAACAAAACCATCCAGAAATAAGTCGGACCACTGAAGATGCTCCTGGCATGAGGGCATCACAAAAAACTATCAGGACGGCTGCCAGTTGTGTTGTGTCAAACGTGTGGTGGCAAGTGATACACTCCAGCAGGGGTATGTTTGGGGGGGAGGGGGAAAGAGTGGAGAAGGGTAGTGCGTGGGCCGTGTGGTGGCTGGCGATCCACTCGAGGAGCTATATGCTCACTGGCAGCGGGCCAGAGGAGGACTGGCGGGGTTGGAAGGAGAGAGGAGAGGGGGGGAGGAAAGAGGGGGTGGGGGGGAGGAGAGTGGGGCAAGTGCATTGAAGTCCGGCAAGAAAGGCAAGTTTGTAGGCCGTGTGGCGGTGGGCGATCCAGTCTAGCAATGACCATTGGGGGGTGGGGGAGAGACACTATTTGGATTGGAGGGAGGAGAAGCGCTGCTGATCGCAACTGAGCTGCCTCGTGTCGAGCATGTGGTGGCTGGCACAGACGTGCTTGATCACACATGTTTAGGAGCACACCTACAGTCACACACACCTATAGTTACACCCAACCACCTCACGAAGGGCTGCACCATGAAGAGCTTTGCCCCGCTGACAGCTTGAGAGACGGGCAGGGCTCCATCGCACTGAGCTGACGCCGAGTCATAGACGACCTTAGGGTTAAGTGCAAGCAAAGAGGAACACATCTGTGAGGGGAGGACATAGGCACAAGACGCACCTGACAAACGGTTGCACCATGAAGAGCTTTGCCCCACTGACGGCCCGAGAGACGGGCAGAGCTCCGTCGCTCTGAGCTGACGCCAAGTCACAGATGAGATGCCACGCAATTTCCTGGAAGGAGAAAGAAGTAAAATGAACACTAATTCCGAACAGCATTGTCATACGTCAAAAGACCCTCATGTTAGCACCCACATGAAAAACCACCCTGAAAATAATAGATCCACGCAAAATGCCAGGCGCTACCTAACAGCGTTACATAACCCTCGCTTGACATTGATTGCACTCACACTAATTTCTTTAACTGTTTGTGGCTGGAACTTTGCAGTGCGGGAGTCAACACCCGAAACCACGAACAGCTGCGAATGCCGCTTGATTGTCTTATGCAGACATGGTTGGCTGACACGGGGTTGAAATGCATGCATCGCCCCACTCACACTGATCTCGTAGTCTGTTTGTGGCTGGAACTTTGCAGTGCGCGGGTCAACACCCCTCACAAAACAACCGCGAGCGCTGCTTTCTTGTTACGTGGGCGCATGCTTGGCGCGTAGTTGATTGACACTGCATGCCTAACCCCACTCACATTGATCTCTTTGACTGTTTGTGGCTGGAACTTGGCAGTGCACGAGCCAAAACCACCCACCACAAACAGCCGCGACTGCTGCTGCTGCTGCGACTGCTGCTGCTGCTGCGTCTGCTGCTGCTGTAAAACTATACTCCCAGGTAAAGATGGGGGTAAATGACACTGATTGAACTCACACTGATCTCCTTGACTGTTTGTGGCTGGAACTTGGCAGTTCGTGAGTCAACGCTCGCCACCACAAACAGCCGCGACCGCTGCTGCTGATTCCCAGCCACCACCTCCAGGTACTCCGAGGCGTCGACCAGAGAGGAGACGTCAAACCCTGTCTCCTCCCACACCTGCAGGGCAAGGAGAAGACGTGAGAGAACAAGGGAATCATGCCAGTTGCTGCTGCTGACTCCCCACCACTACTTCCGGGTACTTTGAGGCGTTCACCAGAGACGATACCTCGAACCCTGTCTCCTACCACCTCCCCAGGTATCCACCTCCCCAGGTACCCACCTCCCCAGGTACCCACCTCCGTAACAGCTGCCTCTGCATTCGTTTCGTTCAACCTCGCCTTGCCCTTCGGCCAATCAAGATGCCTAAATAAACACCAGTGATACATGTACCTTCCCAGGTACCCACCTCCCTAACAGCTGCCTCTGCATCCGTTTCGTTAAGCCCCTTCTTGCCCTTGGGAAAGCCCCAACTTGCCGACGAACGCCACCCTTTAACGAGTACGCACTGTCGAGGGGAGCAGCAAGGACAAAAGGGCGGAGGGGCGGAAGGAGGGGATGGAAAAAGAAGGGGAGGCGAAGACAACGGGAGGGCAACAGAGGGACAAGGAGGCCAAGACGGGAAGAGGGGATGAAACAAGCTGGAAGGGGGGAGCCAAGGGGGCGGGGGGGAGGTGGGGTGTGGGAGGGAAGGGGGAGGGGAGGGGGAGGGGGAGGGGAGGGGGAGGGGGAGGGGGAGGGGGAGGGGGAGGGGGAGGGGGAGGGGGGAGAGGGGGTCCATCAAGCAAGCGAGAGAAAGCAAGGGGGTCAAGCAAGCGAGAGAAAGCAAGGGGGTCAAGCAAGCGAGAGAAAGCAAGGGGGTGAAGCAAGCGAGAGAAAGCAAGGGGGTGAAGCAAGCGAGAGAAAGCAAGGGGGTGAAGCAAGCGAGAGAAAGCAAGGGGGTGAAGCAAGCGAGAGAAAGCAAGGGGGTGAAGCAAGCGAGAGAAAGCAAGGGGGTGAAGCAAGCGAGAGAAAGCAAGGGGGTGAAGCAAGCAAGAGAAAGCAAGGGGGTGAAGCAAGCGAGAGAAAGCAAGGGGGTGAAGCAAGCGAGAGAAAGCAAGGGGGTGAAGCAAGCGAGAGAAAGCAAGGGGGTGAAGCAAGAACATTCAGAGGAGAATCGGCCAGAGGAATTCAAAAACAGGGAGAGCATACCCGCGTCATTGATTGGTCGAGGATTATAGCCCCCGTTACAGGCACTTTAAATTTGTAGCTAGTGAACTCGTTATAGATGTCGTTCACCCTGGCTGCATAGGGCTTGAGGGCCACACAGCGCTGGAACACTGGTAGCAAGAGGGGTGGGGAGACAGGGAGCAGGCAGCATGGAAAGAGAGGGGGGGTGGGCAGCCAAGCGGGGTGATGGATGGGTGGTGAGCACATGCACGCTTCTAGCTGGTGAACTCGTAATAGGTGTCGTTCACTCTGGCAGCATAGGGCTTCAGAGCCACACAGTGCTGGAACACTGCAAGCAGCAAGCAGCAGGGCAGACAGGTCAGAAAAGGGCGGAGCAGAAACACACACAGGGAGGGTATGCATGGTTGTAGCTGGTGAACTCGTTGTAAATGTCGTTTACCCTTGCATAGGGATTAAGGGCAACGCACAGGGCCTTAGAGGGTGAACGAGCGCAGACTACTTGACGAGCGAGAAAGAAAAGGACTGCTTGAGAGGGAGTGGGCGAATAGAAAAGGGAGGGACTGTTCGAAACACAGGTACACACACAGGTTGGTGAAGTCTGACAACGCAGACTAAAAGGTTGGTTAATGCAGATTCAAACGCTGGTTAACGCAGACTAAAAGGCTGGTTAACGCAGATTGGCAAAAGAGAGAGAGAGGCAGTAAGGGGCTTGTATCAGGCAGTAAGGCAGAGATTAAAAAAGGAGGAAAGGGGAAGAACGGGAGGAGGGGAGGGAGGAGAGGAGTAGGAAGACGCACGGAGGTTGGTAAAGTCCCGGAGGGTGAATGAGCGCAGGGAAGGCGTGTACCGCTCGCGACACTTGTCCTCGTAGAACCAATGGGCCTGCATGCAGCACGTCAAGCCACGTCAGCATCAATCACAGGGAAGCAAACAGGCGCGCCGGTTCTCACTGCATCACTTCCCCCACTGCCTGTGATTTTGGCGATCGAGTTGCCTAAAAAAACCCCCACTGCCTCAAACACGGCACCTGCTCAATGGAGAATAGCATGCGCTCAAACGACTGCAGATGGCTTAGGATCGACCCTAAAGTGACCTCGTTGCCATGCCACACTGCCCCGCACCGCACCTGCTCGATGGAGAATAGCATGCGCTCAAACGACTGCAAATCCTCCCCAGGCACGTTGAAGACGAAGCGGCTGGTTGAAAGAACGGAAGGGGAACGTGGGGTGAGATGGGAAGGCGGGTGTGGGAGAGGGGGGTTGGGGGGATGCGGGGATGGGGGGATGGGGGGATGGGGGGATGGGGGGATGGGGGGATGGGGGGATGGGGGATGGGGGGATGGGGGGATGGGGGGATGGGGGGATGGGGGGTTGGGGGTGACATGGAGAAGGGGGAAGAATAGCATGCGCTCGAACGACTGCAGATCCTCCCCAGGCACATTGAAGACAAAGCGGCTGGGTGGAGATAGGAGGAAGGGGGGAGCGGGGAGAAGGGAGAGACGGGGAGGACGAGGGGGAGTTTGGGGGGGTGAGGGGGAATGGGGAAGAATGGCATGCGCTCTAATGACCCCAGGACCTCGCCAGGCACGTTGCAGGCGATACGGCTAGTTGAAGACGGGGAGGAAAGCCGGAGCGCCGGGGGGAAAGGCTATTTTTGAGGCGCCTAAAAAATAGACTCCTCGCGTCGTCTACCATCGTCACAACGCCTTGAAGACGCGCCGACCTAAGAGGCGCCTCAAAACTAGACTTGTATCACGCGGCTTTGTCCTAACTTCAGAAAAGCGTCGTCCACCTGCAAAGGCCTTGAAGCCGACTCTTCCTGCAAAGGCCTTTGCCACAATGCCTTTGAAGCCGAGTCCACCTGCAGAGGTCGTCCAGCAGCTCGTACGGCAACACGCAGTAAGAAGAACATCTATCTGCAAGAACCTGCAAGGCGCGTCTACCTGCAGAGGTCGTCCAGCAGCTCCTGGGAAGGAAATCCCGCCCGCGGCGCCGCCGCTGCTGCCGGTGTTGCCATTGCATAGAGCTTTTGACAGTAACAAATGGTTCTATTCACAAGGACGAAGAAGCAAACCCCCTGTTAGACGAGAAGTCTACTACACTTTTAGGGATCCTGATGCACCACCTCACGAGGACCGCTCACGTCGCGCATTTCACGCTGACTGCTGATAGAAGTCTTATCTTTTTAGGGGCCTCGAAACTAGATTTCACGCTGGCCGTTGACTTCGCTAGCCTTGCGCGTCGAAAAGTAACCACGCGTGTTCGCGAAGGCCGTCGCAATCCTCTGAAACGACAGCTTAGTAGTCGCTGCGACGGCTACGAAAGCTAATACTGCTTGTACTTCAGCTTTCCGAAGCGTGGTCCGATGGAGGGGAATGCGAAATAGGTTCAGCTATGGCTAAGACGAAATGCCTGGGCTCGGTTTAGTTGGAACTAAGGGTAACTAGGCTGGGTTATGGTACTTTGAGCGAGAGCCGACGACGTTCGTGTATGGTGACGAAATCCATTGACGAGGTTCTTCGCAATTCAACTTTAGCCATTCGAACCGAGCCCTGGGCTCAGCGATTTCAGACTGATGATTCGCCAGAATGGTAACCAGCACCTAACCTCGTTCTGCTTTCCCTCCATCTAAATATAAACAGCCATTGAATTTGAAATGCACCCCTCAACTCCCCAAGGCCCGTATTATCGAGAGTCCTTAAGTGCATCTTATCTAGTGCAAGCAGCATGACTGGTCAACTCCCACCTTCCCCTTCCTCTTGCTTGCGTGACGCGTTCCTCATGCCTTCGTTAAGTAGAAATATGGCCTTATTTCCACACTATTTCCACCGTTCCTGATGGGGCCGTAAGTCAGGTCAATCCTGCCGATCCTCGATCCTAGATTCCAGCAACCCTTTATTCTGCTATGCTCTCCCAATTCTAGCCAACGCCGAATCGAGGCGGATCGACGGCTATCGATAGCCTCAGGCCGTAAGGAAATCGACGGCTTTTAGAATCCTAGCATCTCTCGATTCTGAAAGCCGTCGATTCGCTGGAAGCAGATATCCCGGCGATGGATCCTGCCACGATCGCCAAGGCAGCGAATCCGTGGGTGCCACGTGGACGCGTGAGAGATGAGAAGGAGAAGGTCCTGCGAACCGTGCAAGGGTGAGCATGACCGTTGGATTAGAGCCGCTTTAGACCCGCGCTAGGGTGAGTTAGAAGAGAGGAGAGAGTGGAGGGAGAGGAAGGGGGTGGGAGAGAGAGAAGGGAGCGGGGGGAGGGGGGGAAGGGGGTAGAGAAGAGGAAGGGGAAGGGGAAGGGGAAGGGGAAGGGGAAGGGGAAGGGGAAGCGGAAGGGGAAGCGGAAGGGGAAGCGGAAGGGGAAGCGGAAGGGGAAGCGGAAGGGGATGATGGAAACGCAGTAACTGGGTCACGCTCACATCCGAGATCTTTGCCCTGTTTTGCCAATCTCCATCCCCCGTATAATCTTCTGTCCCGCTACCCATACAGTATCTTAAACAAGCTCACTCCTGAGATGTTTGCTCCGCTCGTCCAGCAGCTCCTGAGTTCCGGCATCAATACACCTCAAATCCTCCAGGTGGAAAATCCTCTACAGACTTGGCTCGTCTAGGGTAAAATGCTGGGGTTTGTAATCAATGCGCATTTCGTCGGCTTTGATTTAAACCAGGTCCAATGCCCAGTGTGCTTTGCTTCCTGCCACCTGAAAGCGCTCGTCTGATATTGCTGGCATCAACGACGACATGCTTCTACTTCATCAACCCTTGCTGCCTCTACACGAATTTTGATTTTCACCGAGGCGGTTGACAAGCCCGCCTTCTGCCCCATGTCCGCTGCCCTCCTCTCCCGCCGCCATCCCTCCCCTCCATTGCCCAGTCCCTACCACTCCGCCGCCCCTCCTTCCCCCTTCTCCAATCGTCCCCCCACAGGAGGTGAGGTCTCTGATTTTCAACAAGGCGGCTGACGAGCCCACCCTCTGCCCCGTGTCCGCTGCTCTCCTCCCCATTTGCCCACTCACCCCTACCCTACTCCCGACCCGCCCCGCCCCGTCCTCTCCTCCCCCCTCCCCCCCCCCTCCCTCCCCCCAATCCCCCAATCGTCTGATTCTCCCCTCCCCCAGGAGCTGATCTCTCTGATTCTCACCAAGGCCGTGGACGAGCCCACCTTCGGCCCTATGTCCGCTGTCCCCCTCCTCTCCTCACCCTACTCTCTGCAGTACTCACTCCCCCCTGCTCCCTTCCTCCGTTCCCCCTCCCCCCCAATTCCGCGCCCCTCAGGAGGTTATCTCTCTGGTTTTCACCAAGGCTGTCGACGAGCCCACCTTCTGCCCCATGTACGCTGCCCTCTGCGAAAACCTTTCCCGAGGCCTGCCCGAGTTTCCCGCAGCCAATTGGGGGGAGGGGAAGGGTGAAGGGGTGGGAGGGGAGCCGATTTCCTTCCGCCGCGTTCTGATCGGCACGTGCCAGGAGGAGTTTGAGCGCGCTGCTGTATTGAGAGAGCAGGTGGGGACGGGGGGAGGTGGTATGTGTCTCATGTAACACCTGCTCTGATCTGATCGGCACGTGCCAGGAGGAGCTTGAGCGCGCTGCTGCTTGGAGAATGCAGGTGGGGACAGGGGAAGGTGGTGGGAAGGTGGTGGGAAGGTGGTGGGAAGGTGGTGGGAAGGTGGTGGGAAGGTGGTGGGAAGGTGGTGGGAAGGTGGTGGGAAGGTGGTGGGAAGGTGGTGGGAAGGTGGTGGGAAGGTGGTGGGAAGGTGGTGGGAAGGTGGTGGGAAGGTGGTGGGAAAGTGGTGGGAAGGTGGTGGGAAGGTGGTGGGAAGGTGGTGGGAAGGTGGTGGGAAGGTGGTGGGAAGGTGGTGGGAAGGTGGTGGGAAGGTGGTGGGAAGGTGGTGGGAAGGTGGTGGGAAGGTGGTGGGAAGGTGGTGGGAAGGTGGTGGGAAGGTGGTGGGAAGGTGGTGGGAAGGTGGTGGGAAGGTGGTGGGAAGGTGGTGGGAAGATGGTGGGAAGGTGTGTGTTTAAACCAAATGTTCTAATCGGCATGTGCCAGGCAGGAGGAGTTTGATCTTGCTGCTTTTGATTAGCATGACTAAAAGCTGCTCACATGAGATAGATGCAAGGTCGCACCTCCTCATGAGGAAAGGTGATATTTTTTAAGGGCTTTTGATTCGCATGAAGGGCTTTGATCGGCATGAAGGGCTTTGATCGGCATGAAGGGCTTTGATCGGCATGAAGGGCTTTGATCGGCATGAAGGGCTTTGATCGGCATGAAGGGCTTTGATTGGCATGAAGGGCTTTGATCGGCATGAAGGGCTTTGATCGGCATGAAGGGCTTTGATCGGCATGAAGGGCTTGCAGAGTCCATTACAGAACGAATCGCCTGATATGTCCTCCTCCTCCCCTCATCTTCCTCCTTCTGTCCATAACCCCTTTTGCCAGGCTGGCGAGCTTCCAGAGTCGTTGCAGGAAGGAAGTGCGGAAGGGGAAGAGGGAGGAGACGCGGAGGGAGAAGCGGAGGGAGAAGGGGAGGGAGAAGGGGAGGGAGAAGGGGAGGGAGAAGGGGAGGGAGAAGGGGAGGGAGAAGGGGAGGGAGAAGGGGAGGGAGAAGGGGAGGGAGAAGGGGAGGGAGAAGGGGAGGGAGAAGGGGAGGGGGGATTCAAAGAAGGGAGAGGGGGAGATGGTGGAAGAGAGTGTCTGGAAGCAAACGAGAGGGGAGACGAGGGGCGGGGAGGGTTGAGGAGAAAGAGAGAAGGGAGGATGATGAAAGGGAGAGGAGGGAGAGGGAGAGAGGGGAGGAGAAGGAGCAGCGGAGAGCCAAGGCACGGACTTTGGGGAACATTCGGCTCATTGGGGAGCTGTTTCTTCAGAGGATGATTCCAGAGAAGGTCATTCACGCGTGCATGCAGGTGAGCGGCTCTATGCGCTCCTGTGAACTATGTATTTTGAGTCGACTCAAAATACAACTGGAGAGGCTCTGTGCGCTCCTGTGAACTATGGAGGCAGCTCAAAACTAGATATTCGTCGGATTGGGGAACAGTTTCTTCAGAGGATGATTCCAGAGAAGGTCATTCGCGCATGCGTGCAGTGCAGGTGAGCGGTTCTATTCTATGTGCTCCTGTGTACTACTGAGGCGACTATAGAGATGGACATTCGGCTCATTGGGGAATTGTTTCTTCTGAGGATGATTCCAGTGAAGGTCATTCGTGAGCGAGCGGCTCATGGGCTCCTGTGTTTTGTTATTTTAGGCGCCTCAAAATTAGACATGGCTGATTGGGGAGTGTTCCTTCAGAGGATGATTCCTGGAGAAGTGATTCATGCATGCGTGCAGGTAAGTGGTTATATGTGAGTGCCGGTTGTTGTGTATGTGGCTGTATTGAGGCGCCTCAGATATAGGCTTTTCTCTGCTCGGGGGATTGTTCTTTCAGAGGATGATTCGTGCAAAAGTGATCCACGCATGCGTGTGGGCGAGTGGTTCTATTCTATGTGCTCCCGTGTACGATTGACGTGACTGTGAAGGAACATTCAGCTCATTGGGAACTAACTGTTTCTACAGAGGATGCATGCCCATATCCCCATGCCCATACCCCCATACTCCCATACCCTCATGTCCATACCCCCATGCCCATACCCCCATACTCCCATACCCCCATGCTCCCATACCCCCATGCCCATACCCCCATACTCCCATACCCTCATGTCCATACCCCCATGCCCATACCCCCATACTCCCATACCCCCATACTCCCATACCTGTACTCCAGAATTTGCTAGGAGACCCTGCATCCGTCCCTCCTCCCTCGCATGTAGAGGCTGCCTGTGTGCTGCTCACGATAACAGGGGGGCCTATGGAGAGGAGCGGGAAAGCACCGCTGCTGCTGCAGGGATACCTTCGGCATATAAAATATTTAGCTAAGTACCAGGGAGCTGAGAAGGACTTGGTCAGCGCATCCAGGAGCACACTTAGCCGTTTGTACCTTCAGCTAAAGCAGCGGGAGCAGCAGCAGCAGCAGGAGCAGCAGCAGCAGCAGCAACATCTTCAGCAGCACACTCAGCAGTCTCCCCTCCCTCCCCTTACTCCTTCACTGCCTCATACCCTCCCTCCTCCCCTCTCTTCTCGCCTTCGCTTCATGTGTCGAGAATTGCTAGAGCTTCGGAGGAACGGGTGGGTGCCTCGTAAAGAGGGTGATACTGCCAAGCCTATCAAGCAGGTTTGGGCCGAAGCACAGGCAGAGCTAGGGTTGGTGGGAGGTGGAGGAGGGAGGGGAGGAGGGAGGGGTGGAAGGAGGAGGGGGGAGCAAAAGGGAGGGAGAGGAGGGGGAGGGGTGGGAGGGGTAGGAAGAGGGGCAGGATCGCAGGGAGGGGTGGGGATAGGAGGAAGGGGGATGCATGGAGGGGTGGGGATAGGAGGTATGGGAATGGGAGGCATGGGCATGCACGGAGGCATGGGCATGCACGGAGGCATGGGAATGCATGGAGGGGTGGGCATGCATGGAGGGGTGGGCATGCATGGAGGGGTGAGACTGGAAGGCATGGGACTGGAAGGCATGGGACTGGAAGGCATGGGAATAGGAGGGATGGGCATGCATGGAGGAGTGGGAATGGGAAGGATGGGATGGCAGGGAGGTGTGGGGATGGGAGGAGAAGTTGCAGGGTTACATACCACATCACCGCTGCCATCAGTAGTAGTGCCGCTACCAGTACTGCCCTCACAAGTAGTGCCTTTACCGGTAGTGCCTTCCCCAGTAGCAGCTGCAGCAGGGGCAAGAGCAGCAGCAGTAACCTCGGGAGCACCAGCAGCAGCAGAAGCAGCCGACTGGGAATCTCAACTAGCTATCACCATCCTGAAATCTCTACTCCAAGGGCTGAACACGGTACCAATCAATAACCCCGCACCTAGCACATCTGGCCCATCAGCCTTAGCAGGAACGCTGCATACCCTCTCAGTGCCGCCGCAGCAGCTTCAACCGCCTCCTATCAGCACAAAGCTTGATGTAGCCCGAGTGGTGAACAGTGGAGTGCTGACAGCACAGCAGGCTCTGGGACCCCATCCCCCTAGAGACTGTGCCGCTCGCTTCGTGCTGCAGATGATGCGGCATGGTGCTGCAGCTGCTTCTGTTGCCGCTGAGGCTGATGCTGCTGCCGCCGTCGCTGCTGCTGCTGCTGCTGGTGATGCCGCTGAAGCTGCTGCTGCTGGTGACGCTGCTTCAGCTGAATCCGGATCATCCTCTGCCAACTCAGTTCCTGCGGACCCCTGTCCTGCTGCTGCAGCCATTGCTGAATTTCCTGATGCTAATGCATCTCCTGCCGTTCGTCCCTCTTCAGGATCCAACGGCTGCAAATCACAGGCGTTACCAGCCAGCCAATCACAGCAGCTGCTCATGCCCATCGGCCAATCAGCTCGCTCGATTCTTGACTCAGTGGGTCTCCTTCTCGACAGCCTGGCAGCCAGAAAAGCTTTGCCTGACGGATCGCTGACAAATGGCGCATTGTCATTCGCCCGGCTGATCGGGAAAGGCGGCATCTCCAACAGTAACAGTCACAGTAACAGGAGTGAGATTGTAACCAACCGTACAGTGATTGTTGCTCGCTCTACCAACATACCCAATACACCACCACCAAAAACAGCCCCAGAAAAGTCTGCACTGTGGAATTCCCAGGTTTTAGGTCAGTGGCTGGGTCGGTTCGTGGGTACGGGGCAGATGGGGTTTGGAGTGGTTCAAGAGGCATGTGAAAGGGTGGTGTGCGGTCCGTACAGGCGTGCGCTGCTGCTAGCAGCGCTAGTGGGAGCGAGGGCAGCAACAGTAGGGTGTAAATGGGTAAAAGCGTTACGAGGCGCCGGGGCAGAGGGAGTGGTAAAGATGGGGGTAGGACCGGGGGAGAGGCAGGAGGACGTGCTTCCTTTGCTCAAGAAATGCGCTGTAGAGATGGACCTCTCGCACCATGTATGGGAGCTCTAACTTGGTGTGATGTGATGATGTGTGTATTTGGTGTGTATTGGAGCTGTAACATAACATGGTTTTAAAACCATGTGTGATGATGCTGAGTATTCGGTGTAACTTGGTCCACCCTAGGTTCAGTTCCGATGCCAGCGTATTTTGTGCAGTCTTATCATGGACAAACTTGGTGAAGTGTGAGCAGTGCAGTGCAGTGCAGTGGGGTGCAGTGCAGTGCAGTGGGGTGCAGTGCAGCGCAGTGCTGAAGCGCCAGTAGTGGTATCTTGTTCGGCCCAACAGCACCAAGCCTAACGCTGCACCCTATGGCATCCACATCAGAAACCGATCTAATTGGCCGATAAATTATACGAATGCATCAGTTAGCCATCTAGATGGGAACGGCCTTTGCCAGTCATTTTCCCGTTCATTCTAATACCCAAACCCTTGTCCTGCTAAACCATCACCAGACCCTACACGTTCCACAGCTAGCCCCTCGTTTGATCCTGACCGTTGGATCGCTAAGCCAAATCCAGCAGTGGCAGCAACAGGAGATCCTAACCTACCAGCTCCCACCCCCCCAGCACCCCAATTATGACTCCCATGATTCCCATGACTCCCATGGCTCCCACTTCCTGCTCCCTCAGGAGCAAACAAACTGGATGAGAGGATTCTTCGCGGGGCAGATGAGATGGACGGCTGAGATGCCTTCACAGAGAGATCTAACGGCCGTCGTGGCAACGTTGGCAGAGCAGCAGATCCAGGAGAGGGGCAGAGGGAGGGCGAAGAGGGGAGGTGTTGAGAGGCGAGAACCAATGCAGCAGCACTCCCTGCACTACCTGCAAATCCTGCAGGTAAACCTTCCCCAGATACACCTGCAGATAGCCCCTGTGCGGATGAGCTCGGGAGCTCTGCAATGGGAGGGAGGGTAGACGAGGAGGAGGTAGGGGAGGAGGGCATACCCATGTATGCTTGCTGCTGGTAGAGCAGTGCCTGCTGCTGCTGCTGCTGCTGCTGATGTGAGTGGGGAAGCAGCTGTTTTGGCATGGCCCCTGGCGGAGTGGGGGAGAGAGAGCGAGGTGTGTCTGCAATGACCGGCAGGAAGCTGAGGGCTCTTCTTGCTGATGATCCACCACCGGCGTTATGAGATGACTCAACCTGAGTACCAGAAGCAATTCCAGCACCAGTCTCCCCAGCAACTGCAGCAGCAGCTGCAGCCGCCACAAGGGCACTGTTACGGTTACCAGGCGACGGTGAGCGGGCGGATAGCCCTCCACCCGAAAAGGAAGGGGAGGGGGGAAGAGGGGGAGACCGGCTGTTCTAGGGGAGCCGGATTGGGACGAGGGGGAGTGGGCGCGCGGAGGGGTGTTGGAGCGAGGAGGCGTGTTGTAGCGAGGGGGAGTGTTGGAGCGAGGAGGAGGGTTGGAATCCGCAAATCCGTATGGAGGGAGAAGAATCGAAGGGGGGTCTAATGCTGCAGCCCTAGAGGCTGCTGTCACAGCAGCCATACTATTCACAGCATAAGCAGCAGCATTGCCAGATGGCCGTCCCGCAGGCAGAACTAGCAGAGCCACCCGTAGAAGAGCCACCAGTGGCACTGACGCCAGCAGCAGCGCCAGCAGCCCTGCTCTCAGTGGAAGCCAGAGCCTTGTGCAGTTGCAGCGACCGCTTGAGCGACGCAAAGTCAGGCGCGTGCACCACCGTGGCCTTCACGTTATACTTGTCCATTTTGATCATCGGCTGGGCCCCTCTCCCTCCTCCTCCTGCGCCCCCTCCCCATTCCCACCGCCCAAGCCTGCTGCCATCAACTCAAATCTCCGCCTGTTTTCTGCCAAGCGGGCCTCCTTTGCGCTCGCTGCCTCTCTCACTCTCTCCTCCCTCACCCTCTCCTCCTCTGCTGCTCTCTCCGCGGCACCTCTCTTTTCCTCTGCAGCCCTTTCCTTCTCTGCTGCTCGCTCCTGTGTAGACTCGTCTCTCAGCCGAGGCCGTTCCTTCTCCCATCCGGGTGTTTCCTCCTCCCTATGTCTTGCTTCCCTTCCCCTCTCCGCTCTGTCTGTCCCCTCACTGTCAGCCCCCTCGTTCCCCTTCCCCTCCTCTCCTTCGACCTCAGTTTTCTTCTCGAAATAGCAAGCTACTTCTGTAGCTGTACCACTGATTCCTAGACCAACTGCAACGGGGCTAGCTACAGCTGGAGCAGCGACGCCGGCTGTAGCAACAGGGTATGTAGCAGCAGGGGCTGTAGCACCAGGGGTTGTAGCAACTGGTTTGTAGGCAACAGAGGAGACGCTAACTGCAGCCACGGGGGGTGAGATGACTGGATGTGAAGTCCTAGTGGAGGAGGGAGGTGATGGTACAACAGCAGCTGCAGCGGCATCTTTCCCTGTTGCTGTTGCTGCTGCTGCTGCTGCTGCTGCTGCTGCTGCTGCTGCTGCTGCTGAGGCCAGCCCCATAGCTGGTGAGGCAGCAGGAGCAAGCTCGGTCGCAGAGGGAGTAGCAACAACACTTGGTGCAGCATGAGTTGAGCCCGAAGCACCGCCTTCCGAGCCTCTCATAGGGCGCTGCAGCTGCTGCGGATGCGCTCTCTCTATGCCCTTTTCCACCGTTTTCTGAGCTTCCTTCTGCTGCTCACCCGGCTCCAAATGTGCCGTTTGCTGCAGCTGCCACAGCTGCTGCCACAGCTGCCGTTCCTGCCCCTTCTGAGGCTGCTGCTGCCCTTTCTGAGGCTGCTGCTGCTCCTTCTGTGGCTGCTTCTGCTGCAGGTGCTCCTTCTCCTTCTCTTGTTGCTGTGCCTGTATGCCCACAGCAACCAGTTCCACATTCCCACCACCATCACCCGTCTTAGAGAAACCTTCAGCATGTGCCGTAAAGCTGCTGCTCCTAGGGCTGTTTCTGCCGCTGCTGCTGCTGCTATCCTCTCCGTCTTTGCTTCCTTCGACTGACGAGTGAAAGAGGGGGTTCATGAAGGTGGTTCTCGTGGCTAAGGAAAATGCAGCCGCCTCTGCTCCCCCCCCTCCTAATCCTCCTCCTGCTCCGCCTGTTCCCACTGCGTCCCCTCCTCCCACCCCTCCTGTTCCTTCTCCTCCTCTTGTTTCACCCGCTCCTGCTGCCCCTGTAACACTCAGTATTGGCCCAACCGCAGCCTCAGCAGGATTCCTGGTACTGGCGACAAGAGTGGCGATTGCAGCGCTGCCAGGGGGAGCAGGGGTCAGTATGCTGTTCTGGTAGAAACGCGTTGCTTTGGCAGGGGATCCACGAGCAGCCGCAGCAGCAGCCGCAGCAGCAGCAGCAGCCGCTGTGGCAGAAGCAGAGCCAGCAGAGTCAGAGGCAGTTAGGCTGACAGAGGTGACAGCAGCAGCAGCCGCTGCAGCGGCGGCAGCAGCAGTGGGAGTAGCCGACCTCAGCAGTTGCTTCGTGTGCTTTGATGCTGCACTACCGGCAGCAGCAGGATGTTTTGACACCCCACCAGCATTATTACCTGGATACTGAAGAATGGAGTAGGGCGTCTTGCCTGCTCCCACTGCGTCTGCTGCAGCAAGTGAACCACCAACGACTCCTGCCACTCCAGCACCTATGGCTGCCCCTGCTACTCCCGCCGCTGCTCCTACTGCTGCACTTGGCACGCTACTCACAGCGCTAGTAGCAGCACCGGAACTGCCAGCAGCAGCAGCAGCAGCGTCACCGTCAACATCAGCCACCGCAGCAGCAGCAGCTGACAGCAGCCCCCCTGCCCCTCCTCTTGCTGGTCCCACCCCACCAGCACCCGCACCTGCACCACCGCTACCACCACCACCAACACCACCACTACCACCAGTACGGCCAGCAGCACCACCAGCAGCACCACCAGCAGCACCACCAGCAGCACCACCAGCAGTACCAGGAGGCAAGCGTCCATTGAACGACATCCTAGAGGTGGCTCTAGCACAGGCGGCCGCTACTGCTTCCGCCAGCTCCTCCTGCTGCCTCTGCTGCCGCCGCCTCTGCCTCTCCCCGCCCTTCCCCAGCCCGCCCACCCCGCTGCTGCTGCTCGTGGTGCTGTCTGTGCGCTCCACAGGCAACAGGTGCGAGTGGTGGTGGTGAGATGCGTGCGAGGGATGCGAGTGGTGAGAGTGAGAGTGAGACTCTCTTTTCCCGGCTCTTCCTGCAGTTGCGGTTGCTCCTGCTCCTGATCCTGCTGTTCTTCCATGTCCAGGTAATTCTCCTGCACCCATGGGAAGGGACCCTGCATGGCCTGCCAGCATGCGCCTCTCCCAATCCCTCAGCTTACTCCCCTCCTCTCCCTCCCCCCCCCTCCCAACCCTCCCAACCCTCCCAACCCTCCTACCTCCACTCCTCCCCTCTCCAAATCCCTCCCCACATCCCCATCCTTATCCGCATCCCCGTCCTCCCCTTCCCCCCCTTCCAGCATCAGATCTGAAATCTCATCCTCCCACTCCCCTCCACTCCCCTCACTCCCCTCCTCCTCCTCACTCCCCTCCTCCCCACTCTCCACACTCCCCTTCTCACTCGCCTCCCCCTCTCTCTCCGGCCTAACCCTACTCTGAGTCAGCCTATTCGCCCACAGCAGCCACTCCAGGGTAAGGCAGCAGGACGCCAGCAGCGCCAGCCACACGCCAGCAGTAATAGAGAAGCCCGAGGAGGCTTGTATGAGCTGAAGGCCGAGGAAGAGGAGGATGAGGGAGAGGAGGAGCGAGGAGCACCCGCACACCTTGTGGAATCGCCGCCAGTGGTCCCTCAGGTGGTGGGACTCGGGGGGACGAACCATCACTGCTGAAATCTGGGAGATAGGGGAGAGAGGGAAGGGGGGGAGAGGCGGGGGGGGAGGGAAAAGAGGGGGGAATGGGGGTGAGGCTCTCTTCTCAACAGCAACCGCAAACCTTGTGGAATCGCCGCCAGTGGTCCCTCAGGAGGTGGCACTCGGGGGACGGACCATGACTGCTGAAACCTGGGGGATGGGGGTGAGGTTGGGGATGGAGGGGGGGGTGGGGGGGTGTGTAGAGGGGAGGAGAGGAGGGGAGGATAGGAAGGGGAGGGATTGTGAAGAAGAAGGGGGTATGGGGGTGAGAGTTTGGAAGGGCCTAAAGGAGCACTTAAACATACCCAGAAGACAACTGTTTTCACCTTTCAGTCGAAACCGCCTCCCTCACCTGCAGCACCAGGAGAATCCAGAGCAGCGCCAGCAGGACGCAGTACCCCACCGACTTGTTTCCGAGTGGCCTTTGAAGGCACTACAACTTCTCTCACCTGCAGCACCAGGAGAACCGAGAGCAGCGCCAGCAGCACGCAGTACCCCACCAACTTGTGCAGTGGCTCCAGCGACAGGGCCAGCGTGAACGCCGAGAGCGTGAGAAAGTACCCCTCAGCTGCACCCCCTGGTGATCAAAACACACAAAAATCCACCTTCCTCACCTGTAACACGAGGAGAACAGAGAGCAGCGCGAGCAGCACGCAGTACCCCACCGACTTGTGCAGCGACTCCAGCGACAGGGCCAGCGTGAACGCCGAGAGCGTCAGAAAGTACCCGCCCAGCTGAACCCCCTGGTGCAGCGGGAACCAGTACCGGCTATGCTTGCGCACATACCGCCCCGACACCGCCCCCACCGGCAGCAGAAACGCCCACGCCGCCACACTCAGGGCCGAATACACCACTCCTGCTGTTGTCACCTGCGCCGCGTTCGGATCCACGTCACTCTCATTGCCAAAGTCTATCGGCGCGCTTGCCATAGCTACAACCCCATCAGGGGAGAGGGAGTCGTTCGAAGGGAAGAACTGGGCGCCCTTGGTCCAGAGGAGCACGGCACCGGATCGCTGCCTGTGGGGGAGTTTGATGGTGAAGAGCAGCGTGAGGGAGCCCGCTTGGAGCTCCGCTTTGGATGAGATGAGAGAGAGATTGCCCCCTCGCACCATGGCCGTTTGCTCCTGTGGTGCCAGACTGGTACTGTTGCTGCTGCTGCCGGTGCTGGTGGTGCTGGTGGTGCTGGTGCCTGTGGTTGTTGCGCCAGTGAGAGTGGTGTTGCTGCTGTCGCCTGCCGCTTTCTTCACGATCTCAAACTCCTCCACTCTCATTCCCCCGCTTCCGTCCTCCGCCCTCACTGCAACCAGCATCGAGGCACCCACTAACGAATCCGGCTTCACATACCCCCCTTCCACGCTCCCACTCCCATTCCCCCCGGCCGGCGCCGGGGGAGGGGTAAACAGCGCCTCTAGCAGCGGGGTGGGTGGGGGCAGCAGCAGCCCTACAGCAGCGTAACCTTGTGGGGACACAGACTGGGAGATAAACGCACCAGATAGCTCTTCTTTCCCAAGCGTCCACATGAAAAAGAAACCTCCTGGAAGGGCCTCACACGAGGCAAACTTCCTATTTTCCCCCTCAAACGTGGTGCTGCACTGAGATAAGCCAGAAATCACCGCCCCGTCGTCCCACATGGATGGCTCGCCGGGCGGCGAGGGCACCAAACCGGGCGGCAGAGCCGGGTAGCTCAGCGCCGGCGTGTTCCAAAGCGGCTCACAGGAATTAGTCGCTTTAGCAGCGTTTAACGTGATGTTAATCGATCCAGAAAAGAACGCCGAGGAGGAGGCATGTGGGAGTAGCTGGGGCAGCGAGGGGTGGAGGAAGGGTGGAGGGGTCCTGTAGCGAAAATGAACAGCAGGGGGCGGGAAAGATCCGTATTGTTGGGGACTGCAGAGGGGAGGCTTATATCGAATCGGCGGTCAAAGAGGGGGTCGGTGGAGAGGGCGAGGGAGCGGCGGAAGCGGATGAAGGAGACGTCCGCCTGGCGCGAGGCGAGGGTGAGATTGACGTTGTTGAGGGCGGGGGAGGAGCCGAGAAGAGCGTCCTGGTGAGGGGAATGGGAATTGTAAGGAAGCACAGGAAGGGAGAGGGGGACGGGGGGGACACTGTTGGTTGAGGTTGACGGTAAGAGACGTCTGTCTGGCACGAGGCGAGAGTGAGGTTGACGTTGTTGAGGGCGGGGGGAGGGGCCGAGAAGAGCGTCCAGGTGAGGGAGTGACACTTGGCAGTGCAGGTGGATAAAGGAGACGTTGGATTGTCACGAGGCCAGCGTGAAATGACCGTGCGTTCAGGGCTGCGAAAGATGAAGAGGAGGGTAGAGAGACGGTTCGGTGCAGAGCGGTATCAGAAAGGCTTACCGGACAGACCCCCACGTATCCTCCTGCGATCTGCTCACACGCCTCCAACGCCGTGACGTAGAAATCCGTTGCAACGCATCTACCACCCCACTGCTACTGCTACTGCTACCAATACTGCTACTGCCACCACTGCTGCTGCTGCTCCCGCTTCCGCTGCTGCTGCCGTTGCTGGTGCTAGAGGTGATGATTCCTGCAGCGGTGATGTCGCTGCTGTGCATGTCAGCGTGCGACTGGTTACCAGACAGGCCCAACGCCATCCAGCTGTTGTCGGGCACCTTGCCCTCGAGCCCGAACTCCACAGCCATGCCGTTGATGGGGTCGCCCACCATGCGCCAGTAGCTAGGGAGGGATTGGGGGAACGCAGGACAAGGAAAGGCAATGATGAGGCACCTGGCCCAGTAGCTTGCCCTCCAGGCCGAACTCCACTACCATGCGCCAGTAGCTGCGGAGGGGAGGAGGGGTGGGGAGGGCAGGTTGCACGGGGCATCAGGGAGAGAAATCAACGAAAACGAAAGCCCAGCCCAGCACCATCCAGCTGTTTTCCGGCCCCACTTCACAGTGACGCAGTTCACGAACCCCAACGCGGGGCGACGCACGCTGACTCTCGCACCCACACCTACACGCGGACTCTCTGCCCGTACGTATCGACCCCCTGCCGACCTACATGTTGAGTCGGCCCTTCTTCGCAGTGACGCAGTTCACGAACCCCAGCGCCGGCGACGCCACAGGCGGAGGGGGCGGCGGAATGGGCGGGGCGGGGGCGGCATAACCGGGGGCGGTGGCGCCAGCAACTGGTTCTTCTTGGCGTACTGAAACACCTGCTTTCGTACCCCCTCAGACGCTTCCGTCGCACTGCCAGGCAACACACCCACCCCACCACCACCACCACCACCACTGCTGCTGGTACCTCTCACTCCGCCACGGGTAAGCCTCCTCGGCAGCTGCACCTGAGCCAGGACTTTCTCTAAGTCCCCAGCGGGAGTGGCAGAGACGAGGTAGAGCACGTGTATGTTGTCCAGGTTCGGCCCTGGGAGCCGATGTAGACGGCGAGGAGGGGAGAGGTGGCGGCGGGAGTGAGGGAGGAGAGGGCGGGGTCGAGAGGGGAGGCGTAGGAGAACGGGTCTTCCCCTGCTATCCCCCCCAGAGAGAGAGGGAGGGAGTGCTGGTTGGCCGATTTCAATCTGGAGGACAAGGGGGAGATGGGGGAGGACGGAGGTGGAAGAGTGCGTATGCGGGGAGAGCTTGCGAAGAGAGTTTTGCAGGGAGATGACGTGGGAGCGGAACGGGAAGGAGGGATGCGAGAGATGATAAGATGCAGGCTACTCACGTGAGCGAGGAGAGAGCGAGATAGCAGTCGTCATACACCGTCACGAAACCCGACAGCTGAACGCGAGGCTGCAGAGGGGTGAACGCTCCTTTGAAACCCACGACGGAATAGTTCCCTGACACCCCGCACGGCGCGTATTTTTCACCCGAAAATTGAATGGCCTCTGCGCTCGGTATACTCGAGGCGTCTGGAAACAGCACAGCGATAAGGAGCACCAGCAGGGCCGCCAGTACTAGTCTAGGACTAAGAATCGCGTGCACACGTGGCCGCTGTTGGTGCGGTGTAATTGACGTCGGCACATGTTTCGTCCGCCGCGTCGGCCAAATTAACCTTCCTTCTGTACGTCTCTGTTTTTTGTTCAGGCATGTACAGTCCCCTGCCGCTGTCATTGCCGCTGTCGCTGCTGCTACTGATGTTCTGGCTCGTGAAACTGCTGCTGCTGCGACTTGTGTCGCAGCAGCATCAGCTATGGACAAACCCATTCCGCTATTGCGCGTCGTAGTCTACTGCGACACGCATGTTCGGTGCGCTGCTCATAATTTCACTGCTAAATGCACGCTGTCAGATCTAGTAGCCTGAGGCTATCGGTGGCGACGGAGGAGAAGAACTCGAAAACTATAAAGACGAGGGTGAGACTAGCTTTGATAAATAGTCGGCGCGGTGAAGATAGCTATCCAATATCATAATGCTCGTAAAACGGAAGGAAAGGCATCAAACGACCTGAATCAGTCCTACTACACGAGCGTATCAGCACGCGCGACGAAGACTACGAGGCGGTCGATGCGAAGAAAAGCCGCCACAAAACCAGGCACGTACGGCGCAATTCGCTAGGCTAACGAGCCTTATGCGCTACCACATGCATCAGTTTCATGAGAAAAGGGGGACAGAAAGAGGAGAGATTGGACAGCAGGAGGTGGAGGGAAAAGGCCTGAGGGCCATGAGCAGACCAAGGGAGTTCCTCAATACTCTTCGGTCTTCGGTCTGTTCAGGGAAGGTGAAGGAACTCGGATGGGTGAGGAGAGGATGACCAGAGCCGACTATGGAAGAAAGACCAGAGAGGTGTGGCGTGGGGGTGGGGAAGCGCGTACGTTTTTGGTCAAAACCCTAACCAACCGTTTTAGATTCGTTATTGATCCTTTTGATCCGTGCGGCACCTCACCCAACCGCAATCAAACGTAAGCGCTGGGGGAAGCTCGAGGATGTGACCGTTGGAGGGGTTCCCACAGACAGCCAAAATTGGCGGGAATTGGTGGTGTCAGAAAGGGAGCCAGTTTCCGTAAAATGGTGACCATGGTTAATGCTTTGCGCGAAAGTAGCCCGAAAACAAGAAACGATTTGTGTTTCTGCCATTCGCTGGTGATTTTGCGAGCCGGTGAAGATTTTTGCAGTGATGTTTTTGCGACTTACGGTGACTGTATGGGGTTTGATGGCTGCGACCGAAAAGGGCGATAACGAAAGGTTGCGTGGAACAGAACACGAGTCGCCTGAAATGGAGGGATGGCGCGCGTCGTGGGTGGCCGACTGTGAGACGCCGATGTCCTGCCACCACCGGTTAGTAGACGGCTGTCAGGGAACCTTGGAAAGAAATTGCTCGCCTAGTTTTCAAGCCACCGACCCATAACGAAATTTGACTGGAACAATGATTGTACACTCCGCAGATATGAACGTTCTCCAACATTCGCAAAATTCCTAACGCGTACAGAGCCTTCTTTTTGCTCTTCACGATTACTTGTAGCAGGGATTCCAGCAACTTACTTTGAGATAGCACTAGTTATCACACTCCGTAATAGTCTCTTCGCCTCGCGCTCGTATTTCAGATACTCGTGACAGGCAAAGCGAAGCCCGTTGACTTCTCGTCTGTAGCCAGCTCAGCCGTTGGACCATAATTCTTGGCAGTCGCGGCGTTTTCTGATAGATTCACCACCCTGGTCATGACATGCGAAGTGTTTGAGCTGAAAGAGCTGGTGGGTCATGGCCTAATGTTGTTGTATTTAGCGGAAACCTAAGTCTTCTCTTCAGTACGTGAGTCTACACTCGCGACTCCCCTAATTCACGGAGTCAAAAGCATGGGAGCGTTTTCGAGTGGGTTAAGGTTGTCATGAGTGTGTTTCCCTGTCGCTTGTGAACGATTACTGCACGATCACTTGTCCATATAATCATGATTTGTTGCTCAGGTCGTTCCGACTGTTCATCCATCTCCCTGTGATGTGCTGGGATGTTTCTGCTGCCTTGTGCTGGATAATTTGCTGGCTGGGCCTTGTGATGGCTCGACGTTGCATGTGTTTACTCCATTGACGTTGTTCCTTGGCAGTTGCTCGAGCACTACCAAATTCGTGAAGTCTTACGATGTAAGTGGCGTGGCGTTTCCCTTTCCTCTCTTCCCTCATCCCATTGGTTCTCCTGATCCTCCTTTTCCCACTCCTCTCTCCTCGTTACTTCCCGTACTTCTCGTCTCCCTGCTTAGATCCTCCCCCTTTCTCCCCTCCCCCCCCACCCCCACAACTGAATTTCTGTTCAATTTCTGACTTCCAGTTTCCGATTGCATGGCTAGTGGTACTGTTACCAAATCCAGTTACTTTTATTTGTGTACTCTACAGTCACGCTGTTCGCCTTTCTGTCAACTCATCTTCGCTCTCCCTGTCCTCCTCCCTCCTTGATCTTGCCCTCCCTCTCTCCTCCACCAGTTCTTCTCCACACCATCATGTTCCATCGAGCATTGGGTTTCTTCCCTCGCTGTTCTTGAGGCCTCAAAATCGAGCATATTTTTGAGTCTATTTTTGAGGCGCTCAAAAAATAGACTCAAAAATCGAGCATTGGGTTTCTTCCTCGCTGTTCTTACTTCCTCTCCCGTGCTCCACCCCCCCTCCTCCCTCCCTCATTCCTCACCTCAGGTCTCCTCCACACCTCAAAGCTCTTCTCCCTTCCTCATCTCGCCCTCCATATTCTCTTGCCTCCATGCCCTCGTTTCTCCTTATCTCCTCCCACCAGTCTCCTCCACACCATCATGTTCCATCGAGCATTGGACTCGTCGACCCAAGAGCATCGACTCGGAGCTCTTCGACATCACCTATGTGAGCTATCTGACTGAGCCGTTTCATATTTCTATGCCATATGTTGTAGCTCCTTAACGCTGCTGTTTCTCCCTTCCATCTGTTCTTTTCTCCCCCCCCTCTCCTCTTCCCCCCCTCCTCTCAGGTGCAATGCGGGGATGCAGAGGTGGAGAGACAAATAGAGGAAAAGATTGGCCAGTTCAGCCTGTGGCTTGAGAAGAACCCCACCAAGAAAGGACAGGTGGGGGAGTTTGTGCGATCACTGAGTGACCCCGCCTCGAAGCGCAAATTTCTCTGCGTTCCCTCCATTCTCTCTCATGCCTGCATGATGGAGGCATGGAGCACCCAGTTCATGCCTCTTTCATGCCCTGCATCACCCAGTTCTTCTCTCCATGTGGAATTATCTCCCATAGAAATCCGAGGTGAACTGAGCGAATTTTGAGCGCCTAATAAATTATCTTTCATGTCTGCATCACCCTGTTCTTCTCCCTTTGGTCCTTCCGTCCGTCCTTCCTATCTCTCCCCTCCCACCCTTACCAGCTCTGCCTTTCCTTCTTTGAAAAGCGACGCCCCATCACAGGCACCGCCACAACATCTTTTCTGGTAGCAGCAACACGCTCGCAACAAAGTCCGAAGGCAGCAGCCAAGCCAACGGTAGCAGCAGCAGCGGCGGCGGCGGCGGCGGCGGCGGCAGCGGCAGTGGCAGCACAAGGAAGGACTCAGCAGCATCATGGTTGAGCGCTAGTGCCGCCCGGTTGACCCTAGGATCGGATAAAATCATATGGGAGCAGTGGATCATCCCTGTCTCACTCCTCACCTCCCCCTCAGGCAGCACTCCCGGCCAGCCACCATTCTCCTCCTCTTCCTCCTCCTCCTCCCCCTCCTCCTCTCCTGCTCACACCAGTGCTGCCCATACCGCTGTTGCCACCACCGCTGCCACCAGTGGGGCATCGTCGTCCCCATCGCCCTCATTCTCCCCCTCTGCTTCGGCCGAGGCGTGGCAGCGGCAGCAGCGCAGCGCACAGCTGGAGGCGGATGTCAGGGAGGCGCTGCTCTCGATCCTCACCATGGCCAATGAGAAGAGAGACCATCTGCCGCCTGTTCTTACATCCTCCCTCGTCTCATTCCCCTTCGAAATCTCTGTTCCAAGGTGTGTCCCATTCTCTCGCTCTGTTTCTCTTGCTGCTGGTACCAACTCTGCCACTGCAAGACGTATTACTGGGCTCTTGGGTGCGTGGCAGCAGCAGCAGCAGCGGCAGCTGTAACAGAGCAGTGGCAGCGGCAGCAGCGCAGCGCACAGCTGGAGGCGGATGTGAGGGAGGCATTACTGTCGATCCTCGCCATGGCCAATGAGAAGAGGGACCATTTGCCTCCTGTCCTCACGTCCTCCCTTGTGTCTTTCCCCTTCGAAATATCTGTCCCAAGGTGTGTAGGACCAGAAGTTGTCTCTTTCCGGTCCCCCTCCCCCCCCCCCACCCTCCCCCTCCCCCTTTCTTTTATCCCAAACATTTGCGTCTTTCGTCCTGCTTGCTATCTGCACCTGGTCGCGGAGGGATTGTCGCTTGATTCTCACTGCTTTTTTTATTTCTTCCCTTCTGCTGCCGCTACCATACCATATTCCTTGGGATGTATCATGTATGCCATTGTTCATCTGTGCAGCATGTCAGACTCGTTCGGAATGGACGTTCTGAAGAGGATGTTGCAAACAGCTCCACATCATGTGCTGGGATGATTGGTGGGTTGGTGTACATTTTTAAACTTTTGATGTGGCCATTTTGGAACTCCTAGACCAAGCATTCTTGTACATAGAAAATCATTATGTGGTCTTGTACATAGCGGGGTAATGCTCTTTGTGTGCTCTCTCTACACGAAATCCTTTGGCATGCGCTTAGTTTGTTGATATTCTTTCGTATTGCGCAGTGGGAATCCAGAATGTAGGCATTCTTGCTGAAGGCAGCTACAGCGCTCCACCAATACCGTGCATTTAGCGAGTACGAACCGTGGTTCCAGTTTCCCTGCTCAGGCGAAAGGCCTGCAGCTGACGACCATTTCTGAGGGTCACGTTCTGCCGACCGACCTTCGCACTGTCACCTTGAAGCTGCTGTTCACACATCCTATACCTATACCCCTCTTGTCGCTACCAGGAGCACTGTCACTGTTACTTAGGGAGACTTCCCCCCCAACATCCTAGACTTTGACGTCGACTAAAAGGAGGTCATTTCCTCCGAACATGGTAGCGCGTCGCGTGCTCACTCTTCTCTCGGCTCTCGACGAGGCCTCGCTGACGTCGCTGCTGCAGCAGCATGGGGTGAAGGAGTCGCACGGCCGGACCATAATTAGGTCAGCTGGGAGCAATGAGTGGGGTTATTAGTCTTATGTTTACAATTTCAGAAGACGCCATTGTTAGCAGCAACCTGGGCTGTAGGAGTCGCATAGCTGGACCAGCCGGACCATAATTAGGTCAGCTGGGAATGGTAATTAGGTCAGGTGGGAATCTGTAAGCCGATCCATTCGACCGACGGACTGATACGTCTTGTAAGAGGTTTTGAGAATTGCTTTTGAGTCGACTCAAAAACCGACGGACTGATACGTCTTGTAAGAGGTTTTGAGAATTATCAGAAATCTCAGACGGGCTGAAACTTCCTCTTCCTCATTTTCTCAGTATTTAGTAATTTTCCCGTTCCCATTTTCGTATGTAATGAGTCGATTTTTGAGTCGACTAAAAAATCGACTCATTTTTCCCGTTCCCATTTTCGTACCCGGTCATGTCATCAGAAGTACACGTGGCCTGGGCTTTTGGACTGACATTTCGTAGCCAACCCAGCCTTGATACTCGTTTTTCAGTAACTCGTTTGCAACCTCTGTCTCCTCCCGTTATTTTCTTACGCAGCCATGTCATCAGGACACGTGGCCTGGGTTCATTCACTGACATTCCGAAGCTACCCCAGCCTCTATACTCGCTACTGGAAGATTCGTTTGCAGCTTGCTCGTCAGAAGTCGTGGACGAGCAAACATCACAGGATGGCGATACCACTAAACTCTTGATAAGGCTACAGGACGGGTTAACTGTTGAAGCGGTGATTATGCGTTACGATGCGTCAGAGGGACGTTACAACGGCTACCAGCGGCCAGGGGGAGAGAGAGCCACGCTGTGCGTGTCTTCTCAGGTATGCACATTTTCGCCCAAATCTACTCTAATTCCATCAGGCGTGTGCACTACGATGAATCAGGAGATGTTACACTGTTTCCCGGCTGCGAAGAGTGGTAGAGACTGCTTTTGAGGCGGCTCAAAAATAGACTCCTTGTGCACTACGATGTATCAGGAGATGTTACACTGTTTCCCGGCTGCGAAGAGTGGTAGAGATTGCTTTTGAGGCGGCTCAAAAATAGACTCCTTGTGCACTACGATGTATCAGGAGATGTTACACTGTTTCCCGGCTGCAAAGAGTGGTAGAGATTGCTTTTGAGGCGGCTCAAAAATAGACTCCTTGTGCACTACGATGTATCAGGAGATGTTACACTGTTTCCCGGCTGCGAAGAGTGGTAGAGATTGCTTTTTAAAGTGGTCGTCTCAGGTGTGATCTTGCGCTGCGAATCTAGCTTCACACTAAAGCGTGGTGTGGCGTGCATGCACATCCCCAGGTGGGGTGTGCCACGGGCTCTTTCTTCTGTTCTACTGGCACACATTTCGTATCCGTGCTTGTTACTTCCACCCATTTATGCATGCGTGCAGGTGGTGGAGTGTGCCATGGGGTGTTCCTTCTGTGCCACGGGCACCATGTCTCATTCTCGCTCTGTGCATGCATGCACACGTTCATGACCGCAGGTGGGGTGTGCCATGGGGTGTTCCTTCTGTGCCACGGGCACCATGTCTCGCCCCACCAGCCTCACAGCAGGGGAGATCCTCGAGCAGCTGCTGCTGGCCTCGCAAAGAGCTCCAATCCGCAACGTTGTCTTCATGGTATGCCATTCATCTGAGGTCGTGTCTGTGTGCTTCTGGGCTGGCTCACAAAGGTCAGGCTCGCAGCAGGGGAGATCCTCGAGCAGCTGCTGCTGGCCTCTCAGAGAGCTCCCTTCCGAAATGTGGTGCTCATGGTACGTCGAATCATGCATGACTCGACCCTATCAGCCGTGACCCAGCAGCCCACCAGCCATGACCCAGCAGCCGTGATCCACTAGCCTTGACCCACCAGCCTTGAACCACCAGCCTCACAGCAGGGTAGATCCTCGAGCAGCTGCTGCTGGCCTCTCAGAGAGCTCCACTTCGCAAGGTTGTCTTCATGGCATTCCATTGATATGAGGTTACCAGTGTGTGCGTGCTTCTGGGCCAAGTCACAAAGGTCGGTCTCGCAGCAGGGGAGGTAGCCAAGCAGCTGCTGCTGGCATTGCAGAGCGCTCCCATCCATCCGCAATGTCGTCTTCATGGTTCATGTGCGTGTGTTAGATCCACCAAACCTGTTACAATGGAGTCGTTTTTTAGAATCCTAAAGAATGACTCTTAATGCCGTCTTCGTCTTCAAGGTGCGTTCATGCGTGTGTGTTCACCAACCCTGTTGTTGTGTTGTGTCAACTAAAGACACTCGCCTTATGTCCCACCAAACTCCCATTCTTCCTGTTCTCCTCCAGGGAATGGGCGAGCCTTTCAACAACCATGGCGTGGTGAAAGCAGCAGTGGAATCGATGGTTCCCCCCGACGCCTTCCACGTGTATACTCTCCTGCGTTGTGATCCTCCCTTGCTTCTCCGGACGACCCTGTGTCCCCCCGTTTTTGCAGGGAATGGGCGAGCCCTTCAACAACCATGGCGTGGTGAAAGCAGCAGTGGAATCGATGGTTCCCCCCGACGCCTTCCACGTGTATACTCTCCTGCGTTGTGATCCTCCCTTGCTTCTCCGGACGACCCTGTGTCCCCCGTTTTTGCAGGGAATGGGCGAGCCCTTCAACAACCATGCTGCGGTGAAAGCAGCAGTTGAATTGATGGTTGCTCCCTATGGCTTTCACTTGTCCCCCAACCATATAACAGTCTCCACAGTATGTTCCCAACCTAAGCCTATCACAGCTCACCCAATC